GTTACTCAGAAGCCCTGCTCTGGTATCTGCTGGTGGATTGGGGAGGGGGTACCCCTGGGGACCCCCAGCTGCCTGGAGTTACACACTTTGGGGGAGACCTGGCCTGGGGAGCCAGTCTGAGTATCTGTCTCTTTGTTGGGCTAAGTGTAGGAATGGAAGGGGGTGTGGCTCCTGGGAGGGTCCCAGCCTGGGGGGAGAGATGCGAAGGGGGGCTCCTGGGAGGAGGGAGGCCTGTGGTCACCCACACACCAAAGTTGAACGGTCTGTGGGGTTTGGGAAGGGGCTCCTCCAAGGAAGTCCACCTCCTGGTGTGGCCCTCTCCTCCTCCCTCTCAGGCTTTTGGTCTGGGCTAGCCTAGGCCAGGGGCCAGAGGCCTGGACAGGGGGTCTCTGCTGGTGCCAGAGCAGGACAGGGGGGGTAGGGGGACATACTTTGGGGGGGAGGGGGGGGGGAAAGCTTTCACCCTGGGGGATTCGGGTGCAGGGGCGGGGGGTCTGGGGTGCCGTTGGGGGAAGGGAATGTAAGAATTAAACACAGGGGTAGTCAGGTCTGATACCACACCCTCCTCCACTCCAGCATCCCCTGGACGGGGTGGGGGGCCGGAGTGTTGGGTGACTTGTCCAGATTGAGCAGACGGAATCTTTGGGGACCCTTTCCCCTCTTCCTAGGTTTCCCAAAAGGGGAGTGGGGGGTCGGATTTGGAAATGGCAAGGCTGGGCTGGTGAGGTGGGGGTGGGGAAGGAGCCGGGGAGGAGCTGTCCCACAGTAGGGAACAATAGAGGAGCTGCATTCCGGCTGGGGAGTGAGGGAGGAGGCCGGCCGCTGGCAGGGGAAGAGGGGAGGCGAAGCCAGGGGGCCCTGCTCCTCATCCCACCTCACCCCCCTGTAGTGCTGGGGGTTGGTGGGATTTTGCTCGGAGATCCAGAATGGAGGAGGGGAAGGTGCCACTGGCCTACACAACCCTCATTCCCACCCACCCCACTCCATCTCTTGAGATTTCTGGTTTGAAAAGTTGGATTTCCTCTTATCAGAAACTAGGGACCCACAGCCCTGGAATCGGGTGGGGACACTTAATATCTTTCTGGTGTGGGAGGGTGGTCTTGGGAGGCCCCAGAATTTCATGGAGTCATTTTTCCTCTTCTGCCTCCGCATCAGATGGAGCTGTCTCTCATAAAAGTAGGGGGGATTTCTCTCTCCCCCCTCATTCCTTAAGTATATGGAAGTCCTCCCTCTTGTCTAACCTCCCTTCTCCTGCTACAGGGTCAGTGCCCCTATATTTGACCTCTAGGAAGGTGAAGCCTGGAGGGTCTTCCCTTCAAGAGGTGATTTTTTAGGCTTGCAAAAACCTAGGGTCCGTTCCACCACCAGTTCTGCACTCCGGGCCGCTAGCTTTTGTACTTAAAGTCCTCGTGCCCTGGCCTGTCCTCCTCACCCCACCCCAACCCCCAAAGGTATTTAGCTCACTTAAGTTTATGGACCCAAAAGTTAGAGCCAAAACCCAGGTGCCTAGCAGACACCATGTGAGTAGACATTGTGTGAGAGGGAATGCCACTGCTCCTCCACTCTCCGTGCCTTACGAGCAGTCGTTTACTGGCATTAAAGCAGCAAGGATGTGAGCTCGACAACAGGTAGGACTTCTCAATTTCCAAGAAGTCTGAGGACAAAAGGGAGGGCAGATTCTCCTTTCTAAGGTCTCTTGAAGGTAAGGAGAGCTGCCCCAACCCATTCTACCCTCCCATACACCAATCTGCTATGGTTGAAGGAACCATATGGAGTGGAGGAAGGAGACTAATAACAATAATAATAACAATAATAATAATAATAATAAGCTCTCCTCAGGCCTGTGGACGGAGAGTTGGGGCAGTAGTTCCAGAAAACTGGAAAACTAGTGTTGGTTTTGGGGATAGGCAGTGTGGTGGGGGAGTGAGAAAGAGAATGTGAGTCTGTACCTGAAGAGGGGTGTGAATGTATCTCTGTGTGAATGGGGTGAAAGTTGTGGGTGTGCATAGGAATGTGCTGTTCGTGTGCTGTGGGTGATAGGGATGGAGGAGTGGGATGGAGGGAAGCTGAGCCAGGGAATCCCTGTGAGTATGAGAGGTGCATGAAAGTATTGTTTAGAGAAAGCACATAGTACCTCACGGCTCTCGGGTCCTTATGTGTGCAAACTCACACATGTGGCCTGTGTGCTTCAAGAAAGGATGTGAGTCTCTGTGAAGCTGGGTGCAGAGAGAGGGGACTCGGGAGAGGAGAGAGGCTTGGCCAGTCGGCCATTGAGGTCTGCAACCTTTAGAGATGGTGCTGTCGTCCACCCTCGCTCACTCTTCTCTTTCCCCTTCTCCCTCTTTGTCTCTTTGTCTCCGATTTCTTCTTTCTCTTCCTGCCTCTCTCCCCAACCTCCCAGCTTGAACCCACTCCTACTTCAAAGTGGAAATAAGGGTCCAGAATACCTTCTCCCTCACTCTAGTCAGCCCCCAGCCCATCTCAGCTCTCCCGCTCTTCGGGGACAGGGTGGCAGGAGTGACTATGGGGTTCAGTCCTGTCCCTCGCACGTCATTTTCTTTATCTTCATATTCCTCTTGTCCCTCTTGAAACTGATTCTCAGGTCCTTCCCAGTCTCCCATACTCCACTAGTTGCTGCAAACCTGCTGTGAACTGGAGACACTGAGAGACACTAATGCGTGGATGCCATGGGGGTGGGGATCGTAGAACAGATGGGGGTCGGTGGTCCCTGAGTGGGTTGGAGGACACTTTTAATGAATGGAGGCCCAGTGATGAGTGGATTGTGGGGTTACTGAGTGCATTTAGAGTTCTGTGGAAAGATCAGAGGCCGTGACAGATTGGGGGGAGGGGGGAGAGAAAGGCAGTGTGATAGATTCAGTGATTTGGAAGTTGTGAGTAGCCAGGAATCAGTAGAGAAGTTGAGAGAACAGCTCACGGTTGGGGGGGAATTAGTATGTAGATTTGAGGTGAGCCGCTTTCTGGGAGGGTTATTTCAGGGTCTCAAGGAGTAAATGAATTCGAAGGTCCTGAATGGCATTCAAGGGAAAGTTGTTACATTTTGAAAAGTGTGGTTGAGAGAGACCTTGGGTAGATCTGAGATAAGTGGATTGTTCAAATCAGGGTGGTTTGGGGGGCGGGGTTCACAGGGTAGATTGAGAGGTTCCTGGGGGCGGGCCTCTGAGTAAGGGTCAGGAGCTTATTGGTCCCAGCACAAATCTTGTTCAGTGAGTTTCTTTCTCTCCCCGCTTCCCTGTCTACCCCAGGCTGCAAGATTAAGGCTCTGAGGGCCAAGACCAACACCTACATCAAGACCCCGGTGCGGGGCGAGGAGCCAGTGTTCATGGTGACTGGGCGGCGGGAGGACGTGGCCACAGCCCGAAGGGAAATCATCTCAGCGGCCGAGCACTTCTCCATGATCCGAGCATCGCGCAACAAGTCGGGTGCCGCCTTCGGCGTGGCGCCTGCGCTGCCCGGACAGGTGACCATTCGCGTGCGGGTGCCCTACCGCGTGGTGGGGCTGGTGGTGGGCCCCAAGGGGGCCACCATCAAGCGCATCCAGCAGCAGACCAACACGTACATTATCACGCCGAGCCGAGACCGCGACCCGGTGTTCGAGATTACGGGTGCCCCGGGCAACGTGGAGCGCGCACGGGAGGAGATCGAGACGCACATCGCGGTGCGCACCGGCAAGATCCTCGAGTACAACAATGAAAATGACTTCCTGGCAGGGAGCCCCGACGCCGCGCTGGACAGCCGCTATTCCGAGGCCTGGCGCGTGCACCCGCCCGCCTGCAAGCCCCTCTCCACCTTCCGGCAGAACAGCCTGGGCTGCATCGGCGAGTGCGCCGTGGACTCGGGCTTTGAGACCCCACGCCTGGGTGAGCAGGGCGGGGACTTTGGCTACAGCGGGTACCTGTTTCCCGGCTACGGTGTGGGCAAGCAGGATGTGTACTACGGGGTGGCGGAGACCAGCCCCCCGCTCTGGGCAGGCCAGGAGAACGCCACGCCCTCCTCGGTGCTCTTCTCCTCTGCCTCCTCCTCCTCCTCCTCTTCTGCCAAGACGCGCGCTGGTCCCCCAGGAGTGCACCGCTCTCCTGCCACCTCGGAGCTGGCGGGACTCCCGAGACGCCCGCCTGGGGAGCCGCTTCAGGGCTTCTCCAAACTTGGGGGGGGAGGCCTGCGGAGTCCCGGGGGCGGGCGGGATTGCATGGTGTGCTTTGAGAGCGAGGTGACCGCTGCCCTCGTGCCCTGTGGACACAACCTGTTCTGCATGGAGTGTGCAGTACGCATCTGTGAGAGGACGGACCCCGAGTGTCCCGTCTGCCACATCACAGCCACGCAAGCCATCAGAATATTCTCCTAAGCCCCCTCCCCTGCCCCCGCCTCCGGGGGCCACTTCCCAGGGGCCTGCCCCTGGAGCTGGTTTCCACCAGAGCCTTTTGGAAGTCAGCAATTCGAGGGGCCAGGTGATTAGAGATCCTGGCTGGGGAGCGGGGAGGGGAGGTGATGGTGGCTGGAGGGTGGGCCACTTTGAGACCCTCTGGTCACCCTATCCTTGAAAGGTTGGGAGGGGGCCAGGTTGGAAATTTTACTAGAGTTACAACTCTGATACCTCAACACACCCTTCAATCTGAAAGCAGCTAAGAGAAACTTTTGTTTTGCCAGCGGTGGCAGCTAAGGCATCCTGACCCCCTCTGTCCACCTCCCCTGAGTGTGTCATACTACCCCTTCCTCTATGGAGGGGAGGGGAAGGGAGAGGGAGAATTACCATCTGTATATAGAGGTGCTCTCTCCCATCCCCAAGTCCTCTGGTCCTGACCTCTGACCTCCTGGCATGACCCTTTGGACCCTCCACTGCCATATCCTGTTTGGGAATCTGTTCCTAGGTTTCCAAGATGGGAGGGGGTTGGGGCCCTTTCAGAAGCCTGCGTAGGCTGTAGGGGGTGGGGAAGCATGCCAATCAATTAAGGGCTCAGACCTGTCTGTCTCCACAAAGTTGGGCTAGAAGGATCTGGATGAGGCTCCGCTGCCCCCTCCAGCTTTTCCCTCCTCTCTCCTCCCATTCTTCCTCCCCTTGGGTTCTCCTTTCTCCTTTGCTCTTTCCCCAGCTCCTCTCTTTACTCCCACCCCGTCTTTCTGTTTCTTCCCTTCTCCCCCCTCCCTTCTGCCCCTTCTAGCGCAGCTTTGGGGATACCATCCGCTTGGGGGAAGGACATTTTGGTGGTCCCCCCTAATTTCTCCTTTGGCATCTAGAGGCCCTCTTTCCCCACTCCTCCAAAGACGCACCTCAAATTGGTGATGGAATGTATCCCCATTCTCAGTGAAAATTTGAGGAGGGGACTAATACTGGGGTACACAAAGGGCCAACCCTCCACCTTTACCCTCCTTGGGCATTACATTTAGGGGGCAGTTCTTGGACTGGATTTCATGGCAGTGGTAGGAGGAGAGCCAGGGAGTGGGTCTGTTGTTTCAAGGAGCAATACCCCACTCCCTGCGCCCCTCTCGACCGCACACCAACCCTTATCAGTGAGCAGATCATGAAGTGTCTGTCCTACCCACTGTGGTTGAGAAGAGAGGTCAGGCCTTCAGGGAGGGGTCAGTTCCAGGGCTAAGCAGGATTGGGGTGCGGCTGTTCTGAATCATGTTACAGGCCTTACACCCCCTTCGCTGCTTCCCTACTGCTCCCTTGGGGCTGCCCCCAGCCTCCCACCCTCCTAGTTCCGCTGGCGGGCCAGGAGAGGATGGGGGATTGGAGTCCCTGGGAGGGTCCCAGGAAATTCTTGTATATAGTGAGGTGGGACTATTGTAAGTGATCTCTGAGCACGTAAGCTCTGGAGTCCCATTCCTGGACGGAGAGAGGGTGCAGGAATGGGGGTACAGAGGGGATTTCCTCCCCTCCTTCCTCCTGTTGGGAATTAACTCTCCACAGCCTTCCCCTCCACCACCAGCCAGGGAGGGGAGAGGAAGGAGGTCACAGCCAGGAAAACTGGCCTGTGACAACTTCCCTCCTTCCAGCCAATGTGAGCCATCCTGAGATGTCTGTACAATAGAAACCAAACCAAATGGGTTGCCCAGGGGAGGTGGGGGGCTGGGGCAGAGAAGGGATGCCTGTCTGTGGATTCCCCTCCCCCTCTCCACTCCTTACCCACAAAGGCAGAAGACTGTTACATTAGGGGGCTCGGAAGATTCCATCCCACCCTTACTAATTGAGCCAAACCTAGAAACAAACGCAGAACACACATAGTGAGAGACAAAGTAGAGGTGAGAAAGCGAGCGTGAGAGGGAGCGAGATAGGCGACCAACAGAGAAAACAAAAATAGCAAAAAAAAAAAAAAGCAGTTCTTTATAATTTAATATTCTATTTTAATAAAGGCGTTTATTACCGTATAAATGTAGCAAAGAACCTGGGCTAATATGAAAAAAAAAGACTTTTTATTAGGTAATTTATTATATGAAAAGGATATTTTATTTTATGATAAAGTGATCCTTAAAAAATAAAAAAAACTTTAGAAGGTTTAGAATATATGTAGGGAGAGAAGAAAAAATACATTTGTATTCAGAGTTAAATCTTAAAAAAAAAAGTGTTTTTAATATATGTTCAGGTTTACGTTCCTTTTTCCCCCACTTTTCTTTTGGGGAGGAATGTCACTTGCTTTGGGGGAGGAGGAGCATCCTGGGATGGATGGCGGCTGAGGGAACCTGGTCCCGCTGGGGCCCTGCAAGTGGATTGGATTTCATTCCATGGGCTCCCTTCTCCTCTCCCCCTCCCCCTCGGGGGAGCTGGCAGAGCCAAACAAAGAAAGGAATTAACAAGAAAGGAAGAAGCTGGAGGATTGAGGATCCTGGGTGCTCCCCTGCCCCTGCCCCTGTCTCAGGGGCAAGTGAGGAGGGGGAAGTCCAGAAGAGAGGCCTAGCAGGCCCCCCCGGGACCCTCAGAGAGGTGTGAGATTTAAGAGAAATAGTTTTTGTTTTTAACCAAAAAATGAGAGAGAAGAAACTGAGGGGTTTAAAAGAAAATACTACAAAATAATAATTATTAATAATAATTCAAATTTATTTCATATAATCCTAGAGAAAAAAGAGAATTACTAGTTACTTAGTAGACTATTCAGATAGCTTAAAAGTTTAGTAGCATTGCGGGCCCCTGGGTCCAGTAGAATGTATAAAAGTCGTAACAAAAGGAAACTAGAGGGAAGTGGCTGAGTCACCCACCTTCAGATGTCAGGGTGGAAGCAAATGGCTAGTGAAGGTTGGGAGCTTCTAGTCTGCTGGGGTTGATTCTGAGAATCCTTGGATTTTTAACTTGTAGGACAAATTGAGGAGGGGCTCGTTCCCGGGGGCCTTTAAACGGATGGACATTGCTCATTTCAACCAGGTGGGGGCAGCAGAGGCGGGGGAGCCTGCACCCTTGCTCTGCATCCCAGCACTTGGGGGCCTACCATCCGGGTCACTCCTTTGTCTCTGTTGGGTAAGCCCTTGCTCCAAAGTGATTATGTCCATTCTTGGGGCTCTCGGTGAGGGCCCTAAGCCTAACTGAGGAAGTCCTTGAAGTGTCACCGCCAGTGGTACAGACTGATTCAAGAGCCTGGTAGGCCATTCCACACACATGCATACGCACACTTCTCAGCCTCGGGAGACGGGGTCCCTGCCCCATCCCTGCTCCTACCCAATCTTCCACTTGGCTTTTGGCAGCAGAGGAGTCAGTCTCACCCGCTCTCCTTTAAAGCTGCACCGTGCTTTACAGGTTTGCAACATGCTTTACTGTCTCATAGAAGTTCAATTCCAAGGACTTTCCACTCACTGGGAAAAGGGGCTCCCACGCGTACAGAGGCCGGGGGTGGGAAGCAGAGACACTGGGTGACCCTAGCCCTCTGCTCCATCCACCTGCATCTGTAAGAGTTCAGGTAGGGGTCATCCGTTGTGCTCTGGCCATTGTGAGGGCACATGGCTCCCCACTGAAAATTGGGGGGCTTGGCTGTTGCAGGCGAGAAATCAATTTTTTAAGCACTTGCCTTCTACCCACCCCCCGCTTGCAGTCAGGTCAGGCCCCTTCCTCCAGGCTCTCCAGGGGGTGGGGTGGGGGGGTGAAGGTCCCTTGGCTCTTTTGGCAAGAGGAGCCTGCTCCATGACACCAATGACTCTGTCATGCCCCTCCTGGCCCTAAACCCCAAACACATCTCCCTCTTCCCAATTTATTCTTCGCGCCCCCACCTAGGGACAGATTACCCCCTGCTCTTTTTGTCCTAGAAACCCCCATAGTTTGGGAAGGTAGTGTCTGGGGTGGGGAAGGCTTCCCCTTCTCCACTCAAGGGTGCGGGTAGGGTAGGGTGGGTAGGTGGAGACAGCCCTGGGGCAGGGGGGATGGTCTCTCCACTGTAGAAAGTAGAGTAGGATTGTGGTCAGACTTAATTTGAGGCATCTAGTGAGGACGCATACAAATCCACCACGGAAAAATAGTTCAAAAGCAAAATAAAAGGCGGGAAACAAAACGGACCCACGAATAATTGAGTCAAAGTGATGTTGCACAAAATGCAGAGAAACCAAGAAGGGGGAGGGTTAATGTATTAAATGTGCTATTAAGAAGTTAATTTTATTAAAAGTATTATTACTTAAGGCTCTGGCTTCTTTCTCTGCGTGTGGATCTGAACCACCTGGGGGTGGCGGGGGGGCGGGGGGCTGTGCGAGGGACCACTGTGATTGTAGCTGGGAGTTCTCTCTAGTGTAATTCTGGGCGCCCCTCCCTGCTCACCTTTGGGAGGTGGGTGGCTCCTGCCTGCTCTCCACAGCTCCCAACTCCAGTCTCCAAATGCTCAATCCCCTTTTCTACCCATTTCACCCCTTCTATTCCTTGGGGGTGCCGTCAGACCTCCTTCCACTCTGCCCTGCAGAACAGGGGAAGACTAGAGACCGCCTTCCTGGGCTGATGGAGATGGAGAAAGGGTAGAGCTGAGACACACCCTCCCCACCAGATGCAATCTGTCCCTATACCCCAACCCTTCTTCTTTGGGGTCAGACAGAAAACCAGATGGAGATAGACCTTCCACCTCCCAGTCTTAAAGCCCTTTCCTCAGCACACAGAACAGGCTGGCCCCGACTCCCCCTCCTCCCTACCATCTCCCCTGCCTCCCTTCACCCCTGGCATTGGAGTGACCTCAGTTCTTGGCACCAGAGCCCTGGGCACCAGATGGTCCCCTCCGATGGTCTCCTTTGTCTTGCCTTCCAGATACCCCCCCTCCACCATGCTGTCCTCCCTCCCCCCCTACTCTGGGGGTTAGCAGGGGGAAGGGCGGGCACCTCTCACCCCCTTGGCACTGTCCCCAGACCACAGGACTTCAGAGGCAGCTGGCCCCGGGGGGCAGCGGGGAGGATGGAGCGAGGGGAAGGGAAGGGGAACAGGGACTCAGAAGAGGAGCGAGTTGCAGGGAGGCACAGACGGGAGGCAGCACACAGAGCAGGGCAGATCGGAAACAGCTTTATTGGAGAGCTCTAGTCTGTGAGGTTAGCAGGGGTTGGGGCACCTCCCCGTCACACTCAAGGCAGGGTCGATGGGGAGGTTGTGGCGCCACCCCCTGTCATGCACAGAGCAGGGCCCATCAGGGGGGTTGGGGCTCCGTACCCTGTCACACACAGAGCAGGGCCGATCAGGGGATTGAGGAGCTCCCCCCTGTCACGCACAGAGTAGGGCCAATAGGGGAGTTGGGGCACCGCCCCCTGTCACACACAGAGCAGGGCTGATCAGGGGGTTGGGGCGCCTTCCCCTGTCACGAACAGAGCAGGGTGGATAGGGAGGTTGTGGCCCC